ACCCTATAGCAAAAACCTCTCCAAAAAAAAGAAAAAGAAATCATGTCATCAAGACTATACAGTCAAAACACTCAAATATTAGTCTGCAGATACTATATATTAATTTCTATATTAAAATAGATATCAGAATCAAAGTTTACAAGATTGAACAACTCCACCTCTTCATTCAAGAGCACATTATATATAATAGTATTACTATTTTTAAATATGTGATATTTTACATTTCATATTTTTTGAGAGGTTTTTGCTATGGGGTGCATGCACTCGCCAAAAAGACAAAGAGAGACAGAGAAACAGAAAGCAAGAAATCACCCCCCAGGAGGGATGGCCTTGCCGCAATCCCTTCTCCTCCATTTTCCTCTCAGGGTCTTGGGCATGCACGCACACGCGCCCAGCATGAGTTTAAGCCACTGGGACTCAACTGCAGTCGACTACATGGGAGTCCAGCGACGTAGCCATTACGTCAACTGCTGGTCCCCATATTTTATGTTTTTTATGAGGGGATGTCAAAAATGAAATTAAAATATAAGTTTACATTGGTGCAAAAAAGTTGAAATCCATGCAAAGTGTTTCTTTAGCATTATCTATTTTATTTTATTTTTTAAAATTGCTGCAGTGCACATGCACTCACCAGAGAGAGAAAGAGAGGGAAAGTGAGAAAGCAAGCTGCCAGATCCAGGACTTGAACCCCAGTTAACCATGTGGGAGTCCTGCTCCTTAACCACCACATCACCTGCTGGCCCCCTATGCATAGTTTTTTGGTTTTTGTTTTTTTGAGGGATTTTTGCCATAGGGCGTTCGCCAGACAGACAGAGACAGAGAGACAGAAAGCGAAAAATCACCCCCCAGGGGGATGGCCATGTCGCAATCCTTTTTCCTCCATTCTCCTCTTGGGATCTTGGGCACACACGCACACGCACCCAGCGTGAGTTTTAAGCCACCAGGTCCGGGACGTGAACCGCGGTCGACTACGTGGGAGTCCAGCGACATAGCCATTACACCAACTGCTGGTCCCCATAGTTTTTTTTTAAATAATATCCATTTTTAATGACTTGTTGAAGACTTCTTTCTCTTGTAACATTGAAGAACACACCATGCCAGCCAGCACCGGGCTGCAGAGGTGATGCACTGCTCAAGAGAAGCTGGATCCCACATGACAACCAGGGTTTGAGGTCCTACTTAGTCACACCAAGCATATTTGTCAGTGCCCAATGTCCATTCAGCTGGAGGACTAGAAAAAGGGGAACAAGGGTGACCAGATCCTGGGGCACACATGCACTCTATCACGAATAATGAAACAAAAAATACAGACTAGTGGACGGCATGGTGTTTAGGCTGCTAGATCCCACAGAGCCAACTGTAGTGTTCAAGTCCTGGACCCAGCGGCTTGAAAAACACCCAGGCACATGTGCACACATGCCCAAAATCCCAAGAGGAGAATCGAGGAAAAGGGACTGAGGTGTGGCAATCCCTTCTAGAGATAATTTCTCACTTTCCCTCTGTCTCTGTCTCTGTCTCTCTCTCTCTCTCTCTCTCTGCCTTTCTCTGGCAAATGCATGCACCCCATGGCAAAGAAAAATGGCATTAAATTTTTAAAATTTTAAATGCACCATGCAATAGTACTATGTGATACATGTTAAAATATGTATGTTTTATACATAATTTATATGAAAATATAACTATTTTTGCCTGACCAACTCAGAAAAGATGTATTCTAGTAGATTTTCTAAAGCTTTAAGAACCATTTTCTCTTTGATAAGGTGCAATATGGGGATTGGATCTTTAATCTGCCAGATTTCATGAGACTATAAAAAAGTTTTTTCATGTTTTATATAATTTAATACCATTAAGAATTTATGTATTATGTGATTATGTTCCTTTCTTCAGGTATATAACTAAAATATAAGCTAAATTGTTAAGTTAATTTCATCATATTCGAGAACCCAAAATTTTGTTCAGAAGAATGTATATTAAATGTTATTATGAAAAATCAGGTTTGACCAAGAAAAATTCTCTTGCCTGGAAAGAGCTATTCCCTTTGAGAGATAAGTCTGACTCTCTCCTTCACAACTGCTCTCAGCCAAGGGTCTCCACTTCAACGCTTCCCAAAGGCTTTTTCCACTCCATAAAAAAGTAAACAGTTTACACAGGGATTTACTGCATTTGCACATACCAGTAATCTTTCTCTTCTGTAATGCTCTCCTTGCCAGCCTCCATAAGACAATTCTTGTCGATAAAAATCCCTTGCATGTTGCAAAGGTACAGCAGAAAAGGGGGTCAGAGGACAATGCAAGAATGGTGAGGGAGGAGAATAACAGACCATTTAAACAGTGACAGCCACCCTGCTCCTCACTGCCACAAATGGCCAGGGGACCGTCTAAGTAACACGGACACGGGATACCTCCTACATTGCCAACTTGGTTGTCAACAGACAGTTTCACCGCTAACGTGTTCCAGCATGACCCTCGACTTCCAGGGCTTTAAAAGCCATCCTCCTCCACACAGAGCTGGGTGACGAACCAAGAGTAAATGAATGGGATGGTGCTTGCCTCTTGCACAACTGTACCCACTAACCTAGGTGTCCCTTCCCTCAAAATGATGTGCTGTGAAGTTTAGCCTCACCGTTTCTCACTGAAACCAATCAACTGGGCTCCATATTTACCAACTCTTCCTTCAGGTCGTTTCTGGTTGTCCTATGGACCAGAAGGCAGGAGTGTGTGGACACAGACCTAGGGTTAAAAAGGTAGGCAGTGGTCTTGGGCAAAAACTGTTTTAATATATACTCTCTTTCCCGGTTTGGGAATTATACAATGTAATAATATATGTCATTGCAAATGTGTGATCATGATAGAAATACAGTGAAAGTCTTCTGGCAAAAACTGTTTCTTGCAACCTAGGAATAGCAGAGACAGTGGAAGGGGACAAGAGTTTGCCGCCCTGCTTGAAACAGTAAAGGAAACCTCTGCGTGCCAACAACTGCCATTCACATTCGGAAGCGCTCCAGGGAAGGTTAACACTACTGTGATTAATACTGTTTACAGGGGCAATAAATTTTAGGTAAACACCCAAAGGACAGTTAAAGAGCTGTCTCCTCGGTCCCATAAATGCTGGCAATGGGGGCGGGGAATAGCTACCCGTCAAGCCTGGCCGTCGCCGCCCGGTCCTCTGGAAGCTCAAGTACCCTGGAGCTCGCATACGCCGGCTCTCGCCTGTCACTGTGCAAGCCGCAGCCTCCGTGCCCGGAGCCCTCCAGCACCAATCCCCAGGCGCCAGCCAGGCTTCCTCAGGCGGGGGCCAGTTCCCAA